GGGAGACCCCGGGGCCCCTGCCGAGCCTGGAAGCCCCGCCCCAGGCTAGATTTGAATTCCTCGCAGCTCCGCCCACAGCCCAGATTTTTCTTCCCGAAGCTGAGACTCCGCCCCGTGCGAGACGCCAGACCCCTAGCAGGTCCACGGCCACTCTACCCCCAGGCCCCGCCCACCGCCCAATGGCAGCTCGGCCCACGCCGGGGCCACGCCCACCACCCCGGGCTTGCATCCCCGAGGGCGGTACCTCCCCCCCGCCGTCCTGTGGGCTTTTCCTCCTGCAAGAAGCCACGCCCATCCACCGGAGGCCACGCCCACGACACAAGTCAGCCCTCTCTCTGGCCCCAACGCCCCCCATCGCGCTGGCCAGGGACCCCTTAGTCCCTCAGGTCCCGGCCCCTGATCCGACCATGCCTCCAGCCCTTGCGCGGGCCCCTCCCGGATAGGCCCCGCCCACGTCCTCCCAGGCCCCGCCCCCGCCCCTCTGAGCCCCGCCCAGCCCTCCAGGCCCCGCCCAACGCCGCCGCCCGCTTCTGCAGCCCGTGAAGAAGCGAGGCTGGCCCAAGGGCAAGAAGCGGAAGAAGATTCTCCCGAATGGCCCCAAGGCGCCCGTCACCGGCTACGTGCGCTTCCTGAACGAGCGGCGAGAGCAGATCCGCACGCGCCACCCGGACCTGCCCTTCCCCGAGATTACCAAGATGCTGGGTGCTGAGTGGAGCAAGCTGCAGCCGGCGGAGAAGCAGGTGGGCAGGGCGCCGAGCAGGGCCAGCGGTCCCGATCTCACCTGCCGGGACGCCTTCGGCAGCCACACTCCCAGGATCGGTCAGAGGGTTCTCCTTCCACCCTTGGGGGTAGGGAGTTATCAACCGGCAAGAATAGATCAAAAACTGACCACAAGGATGTGGCTAGCGAGGTGGGGAGGGGGGCGGCAAGGTGGCTCACACCTGTAATCCCGGCACTTTGGGAGGCCCAGGCGGGAGGATCCCTTGAGGCCAGGAGTTGGAGGCTTCAGTCAGCTGTGATTTTACCACTGCACTGACCCTCTCTATAAAAAAAAAAAATTATTATTAAAAATAAAAATATAAAAACCTTAAAAAGAAGTAGAGGTGGGGACCGGAATTTTTTGTGAAACCCGATTTTCACATCCTATTAATTACTTTAAAAGGTACACACACAGACTGGGCTCAGTGGCTCAGCCTGTCATCCCAGCACTTTGGGAAGCTGAGGCGAGTGGATTGCCTGAGCCCACAGGTTCGAGACCAGCCAGGGCAAATTGGCAAGACCTCATCTCTACAATAAATCAAAAAATCAGCCGGGCGTGGTAGCGCATGCCTGTAATTCTGACTACTTGGAAGGCTGAGGCAGAAGGATCGCTGTAGCCCAGCAGGTCGAGGCTGTGGTGGCCGGGAGCGGCCATTGCACTCCAGTCTGGGTGACAGAGTGAGACTCCAACTAAAAAAAAAAAAAGAAGTAGCTGGAACCACAGGCATGCGCCACCATGCCCTTAATCTATTTGGTTTATTGTAGAGACAGGGTCTGGTCTGGAACCCCTGGGCTCAGGTAGTCCTCTTGCCTCCACCTCCCGAAGTGCTGGGATTATATGCGTGAACCACGGCTCCAGGCCTTCTAGGTGTGATTTCAGCATGCAGAAATGGGTGCGGGAGGGTTGTCCGGCACCCTGCGGTGACTCAGGCATCAGGGAGCAGTTTGTGAGAGCTGGAGTCAGAAGTTGGAGGTGCCCTGAGCTTCAGGCAGAGGAGCTGGGTTCCGATGGGAGGGCATAGGGAGCTATGGAAGGTTCAGCACAGAGGGGAGGGTGCAGCGAGTGCTGCGCCACGGGGACGGGGACGGGGTCCTGGCCGTGGCAGCCTCCCTGCTTCTGGGGGCGTCACTCCTGCTGTGCTGCCCACAGCGTTACCTGGACGAGGCGGAGAGGGAGAAGCAGCAGTACATGAAGGAGCTGCGAGCGTACCAGCAGTCGGAAGCCTACAAGATGTGCACGGAGAAGATTCAGGAAAAGAAGATCAAGAAAGGTGGGGAGGACTCCGCTGGGGCCGTGGGCGCTGGCCCCAGCCCAGGAGACCTCGCTCCGCCACGGGTCCCGTGGGGACTGAGCAACAGACCCCGCTGCTGCCAGGGGCACCCACGTGGGATGCACAGACTCCGGGGGTGCCGTGCGGAGCCTGACCGGGACGGACAGGCCGGCCGACGGCGAGGGCGGGGTGGGGCGCTCCACGCGGGTAGGGCGGCAAGTGCCGAGCGCGGTCCCTGGACGCCTGGCAGGCTGACCGCCCCCTCCCTCCCGCACCAGAAGATGCAGGCTCCGGGCTCATGAATACTCTCTTGAATGGACACAAGGTAAGCGCCCCCTCCCCGGACGCCGGGGAGGAAAGGCCCGGAGGATCGTGCTGGGGGAGGCGACCGCCTCCAGAGGTGCAGCGCAGGCGACGTGGGGGATGCCCCAGGGCGCCCCAGGACCCCGCGAGCTCGCGGGACACCCGGAGGGCACGTGTCGTCCCCCAAGTCGCCCCCTTGTCCCTCCGTCCAGGGCGGGGACTGCGACGGCTTCTCCACCTTCGACGTTCCCATCTTCACCGAAGAGTTCTTGGACCAAAACAAAGGTGGGCGGCGACCGCGGGCCGGGGCG